TCATTTGGGTGTCTTTCTTGGGCCTCAATGCCTGTCTGTTTCGACGTAGTGTGTTTCCATTGACTTCAACAAGGTATGAGCAATCTGATAGCTTCTGGACACAGGTGCCAGCTTCCCCGACTTTGTTTCGCTGACCCGCTACTCTAACTTCTTGGCCTATTTCAAGCTCTGGTAGCACCTTGGCACTTCTATCGTAATAGCCTTTAGCTGTCTGCCTCTTGGCCTTCAACTTCTCTTTGACTCCTTCTTCTACTCTGGGGTACAGAAGATTTGCTGATACCGGTAGCAATGTACGTGTTCTTCGGGAGATCAATCTCTGTACAGGGCTAGAGTTCACACCTTGTGTTGGTGTGTTCCGTTGATCCAATAACACAAGCCATGGGTCTTTGTTGTCCCTGTGAGCTTTCTTGAAAATCTTCTTGGCCACTTTGACTGTGGATTCGGCCTTGCCATTGGATATGGCATGTTTAGGTGATGACGTCACATGTTTAAACTCCCATTCTCTGGAAAACTCTGTGAACTCTCGGCAGCAGTACTGCGGTCCATTGTCGGTAACAAATACATCAGGTATGCCATGGCGACTGAATTGACCTTTGAGGAACTCTATGATGTAGCTCGCAGTTGTGCCTTTTAACTCGCCAACTTGTATGAAATCTGAGTAGCTGTCTGCAAGCACAATGTACTCCTTGCTGTTCAGAGTGAACAGGTCTGACGAAACTCTGCCCCATGGACGATCAGGTATTTCATGTGTCTGCATTGGCTGCTTGACGTTCTTTGGAATGCTGTGCATATCTCACATTTCTCAACAGCTTCTTTGATGTCTTTGGTCATGGAGGGCCAGAAAACTACATCTTTTGCTCTTCGTAGACAGGCTTCAATTCCTTCGTGACTTGAATGAGCTCTTGCGGTCAGTTCTGGCCTTAAAGCTTTTGGAATGATGACTCGCTGATTCTTGAAAATGATGCCGTTGTGAAGTGTTAGTTCTTCTCTGTAATTCCAAAATTCTCTAATCTGGACTGGTACTTCTTCTCTCCTCTCTGGCCAACCAATCAGAATGGTAGTTTTGAGAGTTTGCATGACCGGGTCTTGTTCGGTGGCCTTTTGAAGCTGGGGCAGTCTCTCACTACTTAACTTGATGGTATCAAACGGGTTCATCGCTTCCAGCTCCAGAGCGAAAACTTGAAACTCTTCATCCTCTGTGCCTGTATCTTTCAGGAAAGCTCTGGACAGGTGATCGGCCACAAACATCTGCGTTCCTGGTTTATAGACCACTTCAAGGTTGTATCTCTGTAGCTGAAGCATCATTCTTTGGAGATGGCTTGGCACACACAGAAGCGATTTCTTGAATATTGACTGCAATGGCTTATGATCTGATTCGACAGTGACTTTCTCTCGTCTTGTGATGTACTGTGAGAACTTTTGGCAACTGAACACAATGGCCAGACATTCTTTCTCTATTTGTGCATACCGTTGTGCAACTGCAGACAGTGTTCGCGATGTGAAGGCAACTAGCTGTCCGTTCTGGAGGAGTGTCACACCAAGGCCTCGCTCACTGGCATCGCACAGAATAGTAACCTCTTCATTGATGTCATAATACTTGAGTACTGGATGGTTTGCTACCAACTTCTTCAGTTCATCAAACGCCTTGTTGTGTTGCTCAGACCACATAAACTGGGTGTTGGTCAGGGTCAGATTTCTCAACGGCTGTGCTACTTCAGATAGTCTTGGTAAGAATTTGGCCAGATAGTTGATGAAACCCAGCAGACTAAGAGTCTCTTTCTTACATGTTGGCTTGGGCATGTTTTCCACTGCGTTGACTTTGTCTGGATCTGGTTTGAGACCATCTTTGCTAATAACATGGCCCATGAACTTAACTTTGGTTTCTTCAAGTTTATCTTCTTGCTGTTCAGCTTGAGTTTGACTTCTCTAGCTCTGTCTAGGAGTTTTCTGTGGTTTTCATTGTGGTTGGCATCAGCTTCCTCCTGGGTATCTCCATATCCGACTACTAGTAGATCATCTCGAAGAATTTCGACGCCTTCTAATCCGGTAAGCTTTTCGTGTAGCTTACACTCGAACTCCTCGGGCGCCTCGCTAATACCAAATGGCATTCTTAGATATCTGTATCTGCCAAAGGGAGTCCAGAAAGTTGTTTTCGTACTGCTCTCTTCATCTAATCCAATCTGATAGAACCCATCTTTTGCATCAAGTGTGGTAAATACTTTCGCTTTGCTGAGTTTTGGGAGTATCTCTTCTAATGTTGGCATCTGGTACTTAGGTCTCTGGATTGCCTTGTTCAAATCTCGGGGGTCAAGACAAATTCTTATCTTTCCTGGCTTGGACACGATGACCATACTGCTGATCCAATCTGTGGGGTCAGTAACCTTTTTAATGATGCTTTTCTTCTCCAACTCTGCGATCTTCTCCTTGACTTCCTTATGTAGAGTTACAGGTGTCCGCCTGGGTGCGTGCTGCACTGGGGGATGGTTTGGGTCGATAACAAAGGTGCTGGACTCTCTTATGTGACCAAGTCCTTCGAACACATCTTTGTAGTTAGCTAGAATTTTCTCTCTGGTTAGTGGGACACTAGACTTTACTGGCTCTGTACCCATACTGTTTACTTGCGCTGTACCTGTTATTATTCCCTCTTCGGAACTTTGTGTAGCTGAATTAAACAGAAATCTCGCGTAGACCACATTTGTTTTTGGCTTGAAAAATGCTTCCAAAGCTTTTAAACTGGAGGTCACGCTTGCCCTTTCTTCAGGAGTCAACTCTAGGTTTAAAAATATCTCAAGACAGTTTAAAAATATCTCAAGACAGTCTTTCCCCATGACTGAGCAAAGGGTTGCTAAACGAACTGGTTCTGGACGATGTTCGAGACCGGTGCTAAGCTCATAGTCTTTCCATTGCTGTCGAAAGAACTCCCAATTTGTGACTCTGTCGCCAGATATTTTCATTGGGCTTGGAACTGGAAAGTTCGAAGTAAAATTCAAAACTAAAGCACTCGGAGCGCTTGGCACTTGTTGTCCTGACGAACTTTCGTCGGGTGGAGGCATGTCTTCTTCGTATTTTGTCTTGTTTTTTGTAACTCTGTTGCCAAAGTGCCTTTGTCTTCTTAGATCTGCGTTTTAACAGCTTTTTGTGATGAGTTACGACGACTTTTACAGTTGCGAAGACCGTTTTTCCTTGCGCTTTTTTACTCTGACACCATGTTTGTGTTTCACAGTGAACACGCCATTTTTGAGAAAAGCTAAACCACGTTTATTTGATTGACAGTTTATACAAACCGGAAACTATGGCGAACACCGGAAGTTCGCGTATCGTGAAACAGTTGTCGCCCTTAAATGTAGTACGAATCGCACGAATCATACCATCGAAATCAATTCCACTACGGGCCTTAGTGGAATATTTGCCTGTAAAGTGAATGTCAGAGAAAATTCGGTTAGCAAAGTTTTTAACTGTGTAGTGTGCAATATATTCCAAACAGCTGCACATGTTATCCATGACACAATTTTGCAACTATATTTAAGTCACTAAATGCGAGAACCATTTTTTTGATGCGATATAGAGGGTAGAATGAATAAGCGATCTAGGTTGTTTTCTAATTCATCTCTTTACACTTAAAAAATTGTATACAGTTCGAAATTCCTCTAAATTTCATCTCTGTACAGTGCTCTTGAAATAGCACGAAACAAGAGGTCCTAAATGAGGCAAAAATTAACGAAATACACGTCGAATTTGGTATCAAAATAAAGGACAAACTCAGCTCTCATCGAATTTTGAAACCACTTTTTCCTTCGTGGTATCCCAGAAACACTAGGGAGCGTTTTATTCCGTGGTTAATTTCGTTACCAGTCTCCGAGCGTCATTAAATCCATAAGGCCGCCATTTTTGGTCACAGACTCCGTACCAGATTACGCGCCAAATGGCCCGGCGTGTTTCATATTTTGCTCTGTGACACTTTGAGCAGGAAGACAATATCATGGGCAAAGTTGCCAAAGGCAAAGAAAAAACCCACGATAAAAAGGTAAAGCTGGAAAAAATGCCGAAAAGTGAGACCAAGAATCTACAGACAGCTTAAAGAATACCCTTATTGCTGAAATTAGTTCGTCGGTAGGTTTATTTATGATTTCGAAATTACGATTCAAGGCGATTGCTCGTGCTTTTGTATCGGTTCCATCAGATTCCGACGGACAATCTAGTTTGCGATCTGCACTGCCTTTGATTTTCAAGCTGCTTGCTCCAATGATATTCGAACGTTGTGGATCTTTAGCAGATGCCGAGCTTGTCAGAGGCTCTTGGTCAAACCAAGAACTTTTGTCACTTTCTTTTCCTGGAGGAATGGTTCTCTTACTTTCTTCTTTGGGCCCTTGTTTTTGTTTATCTTAGCTCAAGGACTTTTTTCTGCTTTTGATTTTTCCATGAACGCAACGTGAACGCACTACACTTCTACGTGAGAATTTTGTCAAGTGCGCGATGTACACAAAATATGCAATTAATAAGAAATTACCGCGAGAATTACTCCCAGGGGACTCGCTCAGTTACGAGATTATGACGCCTTCCTGATTTATTAACTTTTATTTGAAAATACGTTTTTCTAAACAAGTGAGACGCTTTTTGAGATTTTTTAATTTTTCTTTTTGCAGATGTTAGGTAAAATGTCTGACTTCAATTTAGTCAAATAAAAAAAGACGAATTTTTCGGCCTCTGGAGGTGGGAAGGAACCTTAAGGCCATGTTTGTTTATTCACCGCTGTGGTTTTGTTAACTACACCCAGTTTTTGCTGGCATAGGGTAAAATATGGACTGGACTATTTTTTGGACTATTTTTTGGACCATTTTTTGGACCATTTTAAAGGGGGGGAAGGCACACCATTAGTACTGAGGGAGGGGTGGGAGGCAGAGTGTTATTACTCAGGGAGGGGTGAGAGAAGGACTATTGCTAGGCAGTGAGGGGTGAGAGGTGGATGTAAGAGTAAACACTACTTTTTAATGGAGCTTTTACTCCATCGTACAAATTATCTTCATCAGTTTTTCGACTGACTTTTTTAATGTTCTTCATTTTTGTTGTCCTGCGAAAGCGAAACTGCCACGTGAACACTGGACTTTGATTTCTATTGAAAATATCGCGTTTAAGATCCTCTACTGTTGAGTTATGCCTGTGCCTTTTGATTCGACATGTGTACCATCAGTTGCTTCACGTTTCCCTTCGTGTCTACAGTATGTAATAACTAAATTTATCGATCTTCCTTTTGTCATTCATCTTATCAGACGAGATCACGAAATTTCCGGTCCCTAGCCCTTAACTTAGCAGCATAGAGAATTCACGAGCGCTCTTGCAATTTTAACGTCTATACCTTTACTATATAAAATAATCAGCAAACGATTTCGAAGAGGAATCCATATTCTCGTATCGAGCAAAAGCACTGCTTAACTTGTAAAATGGGAAAGATGGGAAAGCGCAAATATCGATTTTATCTGTTTCGCAAACAAAGGAGTTAATCACCCACACCGGAAATAGCGACCAGGCATTCCTCGCGACTCCCGTACGTTTGTTTTCCAATTTGCCCGGGCCGCTGCCAATCACTTCTTGTGTAAAAACCTACGTAACCCGCTAAGTGGAAGTACAGTGACTACTGTTGCTTACCGATATTTTCCGTCGGCAAAACGTAGAAGTACTGTTCTATTTGGGAAATTTTATTGTCTGTAGCTTGGATATGTCAGGAGAGTTTCATTGACAGCTGGATTACATCTCATGTTGTGAAACCATTTATAAAGACATTTCGCTTTTGCTTCGCTTTTTTTGGGTATATATATCCACACTAGTAGACAAATTTAGAAATGTCCTGCCAAAATCAAAGGACAAATTTTGTCATGACAAATTTTTGTTTCCTCTGTTGCATTCGCACTAAAAATGTTGAAGCTGTCAAAAAGTTGTCAAATTCACCAATGGTAGTGTTTACGACATATGATAGACAAGTTTATCACGGTTTTGTTTATTTAGTAGATTTTCCCAAGCTTTTGCCGGAACGAATTTTGTCGGCGGTGCCCTTGAAAAATTTGTCCGCCTCAAAAAATTGTCGAGTCACGACAAACCATTCGCACCTGTAAAGTGTTGGTAATGACAGAAAATTTGTCTATATTAACAATTTTGTCGCTAGTGCAGATAGGCCCATAGTCACATACAAAAAGAGAAACGTGAGGCAACTGAAAGATGATTCACGAGTATCACTTAGCACTGGCACAAGTCGACCAAACAGGCACACGCATGACTTAACAGTGGAAGATGGCGATATTTTCAATAACAATTATAGTCCAGTGTTTAAGTGCCAGTTTCGCATTCGCATGACAAGAATGAAATAAACGCTACGACCCAGCACAAAAATTTTGACATAGTAATAATCGGTCGAAAAACCGCTAAAAACAATTTGTATGATTCAATGAACACTCCATAATTAGTAGTAGTTACTCATACATAAACCTCCCACCCCTCTCTGCGTACTGATAGTTCGTCCTCCACCCCTCCCTCAGTAACAACAGTCTTCCTACTATCCCTCCCTGAATGCTGATAGACTGCATTCCACCGACCCTTAAGTGCTAATGGTCAGCCTCCCGCCCCGAAAAAAATGGTCCAAAAGAAATGGTAATAAAATGGTCCAAAAAATGGTCCAA